GGAGTTTTAATTTGGGGGGGTTTATGGGGGCGGCAGGGGGGGCTCACCCATCATGGCCCCCTTTTGTTGGGGGCCCCGATCCCGTTCACAGAGGGGGCCGCAGCGGTAGCAGGAGCCAGGACAGGTTTGCTGCCCCCAAGTTTGTCAGGGAGGGCGGGCTAGGGGGGTTCGTGTGTTGAGTGCTGGGCGTTCACATGGAAGGGGTTTTGAGTTAGCTTTTAAGATGGGGGGGGGCACATTTTTTATGTTGGCGTGTTAGGGGGGCTCGTGTGTTGGGTGGGGGTATTGCATCAAGGGATTCCGTTTTTTTTGGTCCTTGGGGGGGACCAGGGGGGGGAATTAAACCCCTCAGGGTTTTTTGGGGTCAGGCCGGCCCCCCCCCCCCCACCCCCCATCTATTCGTGTGATTATTTTTGCGTCATACCCCCTCCCCTTTTCGTCGTTGGCAAACTAACCCCCCCCTCCTCATATCCTTCGTGATTCTTTTGCGTCATGACCCCCCCCCCTTGCCGTCCCAGCCCCTTCGTCTACCACTGCGCCGGCCGCCGCCGCCGCCGCCGCCCCAGCGGCCGGGCTCAACCCCGCGCAGATCGCCCTCGCCGCTGCGCGGAACCTCGGTGTGCCAAGCGCGCTCCCCGGCCAGGCGGCCGGGGGTCTATCTGGGCTCGGGGCCGCTGGCGCCGGAGGCTTCCAGGCCAACCCCCAGCTGCTCGCGCAGGTCATGCGCTCCGCCCAGCAGCAGGCCGGAACTCCTGGCCAATGTGAGCAGCAGTGTACATTGTAGCCCATGTTTGTTGTTGTCTTGACAACAAAGTTCGTTCCGATCTCTCTAATCCAGTACCTCCCTCCGTCGGTACTGATGTTTGTTTACGCATGACCTCGCGCCCCTTGAGCTTAATCCGAAGTTTTCCTTCGCCATCTTTTCCATGCGTCATGACTTTGAATCAGCGCCTGCCCACCCCAGAATTTCTTTGATGCAGGTTGTTGGGTTTGTTTTGGTATGGAAGGGGTGGAATTTCGGCTGGGGATCTACGTGCCACCTTGCCTCTCCATTTCGTAGATAAGCTTAGCTTCTTTCACGTAGGCAGGTGTGCGTGGGGGCGGGGGCGTCGTTGGAGGGGGGGGGGGG